AATTTTTATTTATATATTTGTAATTTTAAATATATTGAGTTAAACTACTCATTTAGTAATTCTGTGGAGCTCAGCTTCTTTAGAGATACTGCAGAATTAGGAGTTAGTAGCAGGTCTTGGCACAGGGCAAAGTAAATATGTGCAGAAGGATGCAGGAGCAACTCCTCTCCTGCCTTTTTTCCTGCTCGATCGGGAATGTGAAAGACACAGTCAGTATTGCTCTCTTCGCTGGATTTACCAGTTGTGCATATGTTTACTTCAAAGTAAGAAGAGACACGATAGGTGAAGAATGTTATATTTCTTACTTACTGTGTCTCTTAAAAATCACTTTAGAATGTGAAAATTCTGCTGTGTGGGAAGTCATATGTTTAAGTGCATTTTTAAATATAATATTTATAAACTTAAATACTTACAGAATTACAAAAGATGCTTTTGGCTGAGGGGAAAATCCGGAAACTACCTTAGCATTATGGAAATCCTCTGTAAAGTCTTTTTCCTTGTTAACGGTCCTCTTAAGTATTTTAGTTTTAAGAATCAAATTTGCACATCATTGGTCTACCCTGGATCTATCAGAAATCAACATTTTTTATTTTAAGTTTCTTGTCATTCATTATAATTAATTTAGGCTTTTAGGTGTGTTCTCTTACTGATCTTACTTTAATTTTTGGATATTGGACTAATATTGCAGGTGAGTAGGGCAGGCTGACAGACAGATATGTTCTTCATATGAAAAATAGATAGCTATATGATTATTATGGTGGTATTAAAAGTATAAGAAGCTTCAGTTGATTTTACTTATACAGAGGAAATTTTCAAATTCTACCATCATTAAAATTGATTGGAATATTCAGAGCAACCAAAGATTACTTTTTAAAATTTAACTCTTGTAAAATATCTGTACCTAACTAGCAGAAAATTTACTTCACATGTCTTCAGTTAAAACAGACCAGTAGAACTCCTATGAATCCATGGACCTATTTTGTATTTCTTTTTTCCTGTTTACAGCCAAATAGCAACTTTCTTCTTGCAACTTACCGATGCCAAGCAAATACTACGAGACTTGAACTTAAGGTAAAATGTTCCAAAATATTTTTCATAATAAGTTATGTAGACGTCTGCTTAGGAATGGAGAGATCCCTACCTCGAGTGACTGCTTAGCCTGAGCAAATGATCTGTCTGGTTTCTGCTTCTGATTGTTTCCTGAGAACCTTCTAATCTGGGTCTTGTGTTCCTTTAAATTTGTCTGTAGGGTTTCTGAACACTTCTAAAAATGTGTTACTTTGGAGGAGAGCCTGGGGACCTTGAGTGCCCATAAGATGAAGCAGTGGGGTAATCACAGATTGTGAAAACACTTGGTTCTGTAGTCACTGTGTGGAACTTAAAGTGGAGAGAGATGTGGGAAAGAAAGCTCTGGCACAATTTGTCCTTGGAAGTGTTTGAAGGAAGTTACACTGGGAAGCACCCAGGGAATATGGACTGGGTTTGTATTTTGGAGAGGAAGCGAATCCGGTTGTTCCATGCTTATTATACTACAGGAATGTGGGTGTTTTGGGGGTTTATTTTTAATGACCCACCAAATTCACACATTTTGTAGCTAGATGAAAATAATTATAAAGAAATATGCAAATAATGATTAGGAAAGTCCTCAAGATGTACACAGGCTCTAGGTTTTCTCTTTATGTAGTTGCCTAACACTGCAGCCTGCTAATCTGATACGTGTTTATTTATGTAAAACTCTCAGTGAGAAGATTCTTATTAGAAATTTAAGCCTGCATAAGATGCATCAAATGTGGGGAAGTTGAGGGTGGGTATCTGTTTTTTGGTGAGGTTACAATAATGAGCTAGTGTGCAGAACTAAGACTCTCTATTTCCCAGGTCCTCTTCTTTAGAAATGTTATTAGTGTGCTTACTGGTTCTGAGCACATCACTTTTTCTCCCTATGTCTCAATTCTCTTATTTTAATTTAGGGATGTCATCCTCGCCACCCTGACTATTGAAAATACTAGGTAAAGAGTAAATAACACAAGAAAAATTCATCAAATGCATTTATGATGCACAAAAAGAGGTTTTCCTTTACTCTCCCACTAAAAACATTTATAAACTTGCTGTTGTCTGTCATCATAGTGCAGTGTGTCATCAGAACGCTGTGCTGTCACTCTTACATTTGGATCCTGATGTGATGGATTTAGTCTGCACAGGTTCTGCTGCCACCTCGCTGCTGTACCTTGAGGATCTCCAGTGATCTATGCCTGCTGCATGGAGTTCATTCTCTTTTTGTGTTTTGTCTATGCACATGCAGGCAATACAACTTTTAAGTCTTGATGACTTTATTTCAAAAGAGAACTTTTTACTATCTCATTTTCATTAAAAACATTGAAGTGCATGTCTTCCTGCAAAGCACTGCTTTTTGAGACTTTACAAAATACAGGACATAATCAAGGTTATAAAGCAAACCTGTACTTGAACTCAGATCTGCTCTTTTGTTTGTATGAAGTTATTTCAGTAGCAGTGCTGCCTACTTTCATAGCTGTGTCGGTGCTGCCGATGGGACGCTTCTGTTTTTTTGTCAGTTCTGTGTGAGTTATTGGCAGATGACAGACTTCTTGGTGCAGTCTGTGTAACTCAGCTCATCAGAGCAGCGACTGATGCATTGCTGTGTCTTCAGAGACATGGAGGGTGCATACTGGGTCTTAAACGCATTTGCACATCCTGCTTGTTGAGTATTCTGAGATCTGAACTTAAATCTGGCCTCTTACTCTTCCAAAAATAGCTCAGGAAGAACTTTGATTGTTATGAAGAAATTAATACATAGTTTGAAATTCTGTTTACTCTTTTAAATTCTTTGATCTGTTCTTTGCTGCCAACTGCTACAGAATGTATTTTTGTCTTGCCTTTTTTTTTTAATCGATGGCACCACTGAAGAATTAGAAGCAAGTTACAGGCTTTTTATTTTAACTAATCAGAACATAAGTTGGTGGTTTTTATTTTCTTAGTGTTTCATTCATTTAATATATCAGCACTTCGCTGGACACTATCTAGTTTTAAAACATTCTTAATCTGCTCTATCAAGCTAATATAGTACTCTAAATATTCTTGAAGTACTGCAGAAAATTGACAGTTTTTCTTTAGTATTTTTTTAATAACTACCAATTTTCCAAATTGTGGCAAATTTAATCTGTTATCTTATTTTTGTTTGTGGGTTCTGCTTTTATTTCTGCAGATTCGATCGATTGAAGGACAGTATGGGACGCTTCAAGCATATGTAACTCCAAGAATTCAACCAAAAACCTGCCAAGTTCATCAATATCAAATTAAACCACTTTCACTTCATCAGAGAACTCATTCTATTGAGCATGACAGGTATTTACGAAGAAAAATCAATGCCTTTTTCTCTTTAAAAATAGACACAATCCAGTTGAAATGTTTATTCTATAAATGTTAAGTCATTCCTAACCTACAGTTTTCAGCCTGTAGTTCCATTTTATCAGTTGTCATGGTTTAGGGCTGGGCTGTCCACTAAATCCTGGACAGACACTCTCTATTAACCCCTCTCCCCTCCCCAGGAGGGAAGAGAAAAGAGAATAAGGGAGAGAGACTTTACGGGTTGGAAAATAAAACTAACAGGTTTAATAAAACAGTAATACTAATACTACAGGATAATAATGTAAACAGGGAAATAATGAAATATATACAAAAATGTACAAAAGTATACAAAACCAATATAAAATTCTCCCCCCACCCTCCCCCAATGACAAATATGACACCAGAGGCTCTGCGGAGCCAGGCACTGGAAAAGTCCCAGACCAACCTCAGCAGCAGGTGGGAGCAGGATGCAGGACACACAAATCGGGATCAGAGGCAGATGAACTAGCAGGGTTCTGCTCAGGCCTTGGCCTCTGCAGGATCGAGATGGATGGAAGGGTCCGAGCTGGAAGGGCTCCAAGTTGGAAGAAGGGTCGAGACCCTTGTGATCCCTCAGCTTTACACCGAGTATGACGTATGTGGGATGGAATACCTCGTTGGTCAGTTTTGGGTCTGCTTCTCCTCCCCGTAGGTGCAGACACGGCACCCATGGTGAGACAACTGACCCTGAGCTTATCTTCTAGCAGCACATACTGGAAAAACAATGCCTTTAGTTTCAGCAAGTTCAGCCACTTAAGAGACTGAGCTGAAAAGTAAAATCACTAAATAGAAAATCAGGACATCAGTTTTCTGGCAGAAAATGCAGATTTAATGGGTTTCTGCTTTCCTTGCCATTCTTGTTTTCAGGTTATTTCTTATTTTACTGACCTGGATTAAAATGCAGCCCCATGTGTTTGTGGCGCTGACAGTGTGGTAGAAAGGAAACTCTCCTGTGTTAGTAACTGCAATCTTTTCAGTTTCAGCCTCAGTCTCCCCTCCACCCTCTTAATGTAATTCTTTCCCATAGCTAATTTGGCTCCAAAACTGAGCTAAGACTTCCCCCTGCCCTTATCTGTCTGTTTGGACTCTGCTATGTTATGCAATTTCTATTTGATTTTCCCTACTATCAATTAACATCTTGTATTGCCATGAAGGTATTGCTTGTTTGAAAACAAAACTGATGATTCGATACCAAATGCTTTTACTTGATGTGCAAATGTGTTCCATGGTGCCACATTCTTGATATAAACTCTGTCTGTGGCTTGCAGCACAGGAGACTCTTGAGGTTCTTAGTCAGTTATTTACCTTTGTCATAAATTTCAGGTTTAACAACTTGAAACGGGATATGTCAAAAACTTTCAACTAGTTTCTTATCCAGTTCTGACATGCGTACTATGAGATAAAACTTCCATGAACGCATAGCGTTTTGTCTTGAAATACAGAAAAGTAGCTGCAATCTGCAATATGTACCTACTTAGCAAGATACCTGACTTCTTACAGGGTGTTGGTTAAAAGGAAACCACCACGTGGAACTAAACTTTTTCTGTATGGATAACAAGTGCACTGACAGTGTCCCTCCTTCATAACTACTAATGACATCTTTGTTTTGGTTTGGTTTTTTTATTTGGTAATGTCATATGACGTGCGGATTCAAAAGCAAACCCCACAATCCGTAAGATTGTAAAGTAGGTATGTTTATTAACGCGTGGGTGGCACGGGGGAAATTCCTCCCGGTCGTGCGTGCCGGGCGCTGCAGTTCACCTCACTTATGTGCAGCAAGGGGGTACATATTCTTAAGGTTTCCCACTATGCCTATACATATGCATGACCTGTCCCCGCCTCCCTCTGTGCTTGCGCAGTGCCTCCTGATGGTGGTCGACGGTGGTCGTGAGGAGGAAGGTCGAAGGTTCTCTTCGTCACCGCTAGTAACCTTTTATTCTTGCGCCGACTCAGTAGCTTCTTGGCTCTTGCTCAAACTGCAGAACTGGTTCTTCTGTTAGCTGGTCTCTATAGCGAGTTTCCGTAGTTTCCTAAAAAAAGCTTCTTAAACACAGTAACTAATAGATACAATTGCCAACATTATATTACCTAGGTTGCTAATTTCCTAAAATCCTAACACACAGCATTTCGATAGGTAATATATCAAAATCTCCAAGACTACACTTCACAACGAATTAAACTTTAACTGTGGCTACTGCAACACTTATTAGCCAAAGTTTGTTTCCAGGAACAATAAGCAATACAATGTTTCTAAGACCCCTTTAACTCCCTCTTTCACATAGACCCATGAATACACTGACGCTCCAAGGCCAGTTCAGTTTTGCTGAAATTCACTCCTGGGTTGTGTTTTGCTTGCCTGAAGTGCCTGAAAAGACGCCCGCTGGAGAGAGTATCACCTTTTATTTTCAGAACACCTTCCTGGGTACACAGCTTGAAGGTACTTACAGGTAAAATACAATTACTATAGCACAGTGTGACTACGCTGGGGTTTTTGTCTTTTTCATTCTTGACCAGTCTGTGAGTGCCATCTCATGCACGTGCTACTGTTCCCTTCTTCACCCCCAGCCCCATCAAAACTCCCACTGAAGAGAACAAGAATCTTTTAGGAAGGATTGTCAAACATTACCAGGGGTGAGCACTATCCAGTAATGGTGCACTCTGTAACTTGGGTTTTTCTTGAAGTTGGTCCAAAAAACAAATTTCCAAGGAGGACAGGCTTGATATATTTTTAAGATGATGGCTTGCTTTTAGAATTCAAGGAGCCTAGCTAACTACTCTAGTGAAATTATTTTGTAACTCCTGTTGTTTTCTAACTTCTTTTTTTTGTACTGAGAAGCAGAAATAATTTAAAAGGCATTTAATGCTCATACAAAGAAAAATGTGAATAAGCATTATGTTGATCTACAGCTTATATTAGGCAAATATTATTTCTGTGTTTAAGATTAATACTCTGTTCTCAAATTAATTTGTTATATCTCCCTTACATATATCCACCCAAAAATGGAACTGTAAAGTGGGGAAAAATTAATTGTTACAATTGCACAGATTCCAACCTGCTCCCAGCTTACCATATGTGTGGTCTATTCATACTGTAGAGAGTTGTTGGGTGGTTGATTTCTGGGGGGAAAGGGGAGGGGAGAGTGTTTTTTGTCCCTTCTGGTACTGAAGCTTGCTTTTGTCTTCAGGGTATTACAATGATAAATGGAATGACTACAGCCAGAAATCTTGGTTGTATAACCGTAGAGCCATGCAGTAGAGATAAAACTGTCTTCTGTATAGCTGAGACTTGTGTATACTGCTTTGTCTTATTTACTGGAACAAATTTATCTATGCCCAGCATAATCTTGTCAGAGAAAAGGAGCAAAGAGCATAGGTGTGTATGCAGCTACCTGACAGATGGAGAATTGTTATGACCCTTAGAGGTTGCTTTCTCTGATTTGGACATTTATTTACAGGCCTTCTATTTTAATGTAGGGACAAATCTAATGCATGCATGTGTGTTCAAGCTTGTTCATTTAAAGTTTTGGTTTTTTTCCCTTATAGAAAAGGTGAGGGATGTTTTAAGTCTGACAACATTTCTACAATATCCATCCTAAAAGATGTGCTTTCCAAAGAAGCTACTAAAAGGAAGATTAATCTCAACATATCATATGGTAAAACTTTCTTCTCTAATATGTTCTCCTTGGCTTCATTTTGTGTTCTTATAGATGAAATATGTATTATTCATTTGCTTGTTTGGGTTTTCTTATTTTATTCTTCACTAGATGTAAACGAAGAATCTGTGAGGCATACACTAAAGCTTATCCACCCCAAATTAGAGTATCAGCAGCTGTTGGCCAAGAAGGTTCATTTAATAGATGCTTTGAGAGTAAGTATCTGAACTCCTGTGGAAGGATTTTTTATGGGGGATTATGTTGTCAGATACCAAGCTGTGCAGCTCAAGTCAGATATGTCTCATAGTGGTATCTGTTACATTTCTATTCCCAGGACGTGTATTTTAATTAACTAGGAGAGAGCCTTCCTAAAGTAAAATTCCCATTTGTACTATATAACTGGTGAATAACATGTAGGATTACTGACTGATGTTGAGAATGCTTGAATCAGACAGGAGAAGGCAGCCAGCTTTATCATCTAATGTTCTCTTTTTGCCTGCTGTTATTTTCCAGTTCCTTACTTGTTGCTTTCCACTGACTTTTAAAAGTTTTTTAGATCTGGGGGTGATAGTCCATGCCAGATGAGACTTTGTTGCTTTGGAATTTCATTCCAGTGTGTCATAATGTCTGAATTACCTGCTTATTGATCTTTTGCTTCATTCTCTCCTCAATGGTTAGTCTTTGGGAAGTGCCTGTTGGGCAGCTTGTCTTAGTTCTTGGACTTTTGCACCAACCAGGATTTTGTCATCAGAAATTTGCCATCATCTCTTTTGGTGTATTTTTTTAAGGGGAAGAGGAGATTAAAGTGAACAGCCAGTTCTCTCGTGTCCTTTGGTGGAATGAAATACTAGTTGTCAGGACTCTTTAGTTAGTAGAAAACCTGACTGCTGGGAGCACAGTGTGTATCTTTATCATCACTAAAAGTATTTTACTTGGGCTTGATTTGACAAACTGGCGAGTTAGAGAACTTACCCTTGATGCATGTTGTGTTTGTGCAGTAATAATGATGTTGCACATCTTGTAGAAAGAGTTTAGTGCTTGTTTTAGGCTTTTTAATTTAGGCAGCAAATCTACTTTAAGAAATCTTTGACAATTTTTTTTTGTCACTCATTTTGGATAAATTATTCATAGACAGGAAAATAATCTGGTGATTGATGAAAGCTGTTATCCCAGCAGACTCTGATGCATAATATAATTACCTTTCATCTAGAGAAGTATGGTCTGGTCTTTCTTGGAGTGATAAAAAGATCTATACGATCGACCATCTTAAATTGGTCTGATGGCAGACTGGGGCATTTTAGAAGAGCTCTTTAAAACTTTTTGCTTTCACGAATGGAGTGATACTTTCACAGTTTACTTTTACCTTCAGGCTTTTAGCACGTGCCACACTTTCTAGGAATTTACTTATTCTAAAAATGAAGATACGGTGAAGGCTTTGACCGTTCATTAGGCTTGATTGTGTAGGGGCTAGGCTGTGGAGTGATCCTGTTCTGGCTGTGCTCTGAGCTGGAAGCTGTAATAAACAGGATTTGAGACTCGAGTCTATGAAGTGACAGGTAACACCTGGCATTACACAAGACTAGAAAATGAGACACTTAGAAAATATCTCTTGCTAGTTTAGAAGGCGATTGTCTTGTCTCTGAAGGTACTTCCTCCTGTCAGACCCAAGCTTCACTTCTTATTTTTATGCTCTTATGATACTTAACTGCCATTAATTCTTACAATTTAAAATGTCTTTGAGGAATTACAAGTTCATGAAGGAAATGTGGACTTTCTGCTACCAAAATACCGCAGCATTTTGGAAGAGTCGGATCAGCTGCTTGATGAATACAAGAAACAACCTGCACATCTTGAAAGACTTTATGGTTTGTTGATCAATTCAGCTTCTTGCTTAAATGTAAATTAATGACCAGACAGCACCCTCGACATGACTGAAATAGTTTTGAAGTCAGCATTAGCAGAATTAAAACAATTTGAGAAGTGGGTACACCTGGATAGCCCCAGGACAGCAATAGGTGTGTAAGTGTATGTGTCTGTTTGTTCATACAGCCAAGGTTGCATATTTATACAGTGGTTTTAATCATAAAAATCTGAAGTTAAAGGTGAGGCAGTAAAACCTAACACATACTAAAAATGGCTTGTTTGCTACTGTGGACTTTGAGTAACTCTCTAAAGGTTCTCAAGAATTGTTCACCTGAGAACTAAAATTGATTTGGCATCACAAGCATATCACTGAGAATGAAAATACCAGGATTATTTGCAGGCTACTTTTCTACTCTTTGATTAATAGACAGCTTTTTATATTTGGATGATTCTTGTCTTTATTGGAATGACTGAGTATCATATTCAAATTCAGGATGGCATTTAATAATGTATACAAGTTAAGTGAGCAATTAAGTTCTGAGTGGTTAAGTTTTACAAAACATCAGAACAGGAAAAGGCGCATGGAGTGACAAGGGAGACTCTTAAATGATCCAATTTAGTGAAGGAGATTCTGTAACCTTGTCTGGTGTTCCCTGTACACCTTTCAGCGCAGAGAATCTCTGCCAGACACCAGCTTTGATAAGCCTTTGTATATACAGCATAAGCAGAGTCCTTGTTGCCCATCCTGCGATGGTTTCTCTTTCCTCAGTGGTTCAGATGAGGTAATTCTTAAGGCAGAAATACATGTTTTGAAATGAAGATGTTCTGTCAGCATTTTGGGTGTTACTTAAAAGTAAGTAATAGTTTAAAGAGTCTTGCCTCTAAACCCAGAATCAACTAGAATAGTTGGTACATAATCACAAGTTAAAAGTGGAGAATACCTCGTAATGAAAACAAGGCAAATAATAAATCCTGGGATTTTACCTTTGCAGGTATGATCACGGATCTCTTCATAGATAAATTTAAATTTAAAGGTACCAATGTGAAAACTAAAGTTCCTCTTCTTCTGGAAATTCTGGATGGCTGTGATCAAGATGGATTAATTGCTTTTTTTGAGGCTGCAACCTGACAAGGAAAAAACAGAGTAACTTTTCTATTTTTTCCTTTTAATCAAGGCAGTTCAATATTAAGTCCAGAACACATTTGAAGAAAAATACTTTTACTCTTCTGTTATATTGTCAGCTCATACTTTTTATTCATATTTATCATGATACTCAATACAGGAGTAAATTTTAGTTCATATAAACTGTTGTGTATGGTAAATGGGTACATAGTTTCTATATACACAATGTTCTTCGTAGCCAAAGAAAACTTTAAAATCACATGTAAATACCAAGTATCCTTTCTGTGAGAATGTTTTCAGTACTGCTAAAGACTGTATGCAGTAGTCTTTATCCTCCAGTTGTACAGATGTATGAAGACACTTGTTTTCAGACTTAACCAGGCACAGAAAAAAACCCCTGGGTGATAAACTATGCATAACTATGATTTCTGTCTGCTGCACTGAGAAAGCGGTACAAGGCACTCACCACACTTGATGTAACTGGTGTGTGTACAGAAGGACAATCTTTGAATTGTAGCCTAAAGACATCTACTTTTATAGCTACAAATTAACTCTTGTTTAGAGAGTGGATGGCATTAAATTTCCTCTGTGCTTCTCATGTGTCTGTTCTTAATTTCATAACTCCCTGTATTTGGCATCTTCCACCTTATACCCTCTTCATTTTTATTTAAAATTAGAAGACATTAACCAGCTTGTGGATACAGATACTTATGCAGAAGTGAAGTAAAAAAAAAATTAATTTAGAATCATAGAATCATTTAGGTTGGAAAATACCTTTAAGATCACCTAGTCCAACTGTAAACTGTAAACCACCACTCGACCATGTCCTAAGTGCCACATCTACCCCTCCTTTAAGTATCTCCAGGGATGGTAGCTCCACCACTTCCTTGGGCAGCCTGTTCCAATGCTTGATAATCTTTTAGGTGAAGAAATTCTTCCTAAACCTCTCCTGGTGCAACCTGAGGCCATTTTCTCTCATCCTGTTGCTTGTTACATGAGAGAAGACCACCCCTATCCCATTACAGCCTCCTTTCAGGTAGTTGTAGAGTGATAAGGTCTCCCCTCAGCCTCTTCTCCAGACGAAACAACCCCAGTTTCCTCAGCTGCTCCTCATCAGACTTGCACTGCAGACCCCTCACCAGCTTCGTTGCCCTTCTCTGGACATGCTCCAGTGCCTCAATGTCCTTGTAGTGAAGGGCCTAAAACTGGACACATTGAGATGCGATCTTGGCACCTCACTTCCCTACTCCTGCTGGCCATGCTATTTCTGATATAACTTACTCCATTAAAAGGAAATAAAAGTATGGAGAAACATATTTTCAGCTGGGAGAGGGCAAGGCAACCTTCAGCCATGCGTGCCACGGAAGCGGCCGGATTCAACCAAAGCCACGCTACTGGCACGGTCTCACGAAAAGAAGCACTTCCCTCCCCCGGTCCCGCCGCGGGCCCTGCGCTCTGGCTTTGTTCCGGCCTCAATAGGGCCGTTCCCCACCGACCCTCCTCCCCTCGGGGCGCCCGCAGCGGCAAAGCGAAGGCCTGGGGGCCCGGGATG